TTTTCATTGTGGTTTGACATAGGATCAAATTCAACGAAATAATAAATTGCATCTTGAAATCCGTCAACATTTGATTCGAGGATTGGATGGCTATTCTCCCCATCAACCTGAAAAGGTTGAAATGGATCGGAATCAAATGGAGGAAAGCTTGGGGTCAGCCCAGAGACATTTTGAGAAACTGGAGCGTCATTTGAGGAAGATCTTGCTTGAGATTATGAATCAAGAGCAGTCTCTTTTGGTTCGAACAGACTTTCAAAATCAACTTCATAGATAATTTGATGATTTGAAGACCCAGGAGGTGGAGCATTAGACTCCATGATATGTGTTGTAACATGAGTAGGATCTAAGTTCTAAACAAAATTATCATCAAAAGTAATGTCAAAACTATCTTCAATTACACGAGTTTTATGATTCAAAACCCTGTAAGATTTAAACTTGGTTGAGTATCCCAAAAAGATGGATTCACCAGATTGTGGTTGAAACTTGGTGAGTTGATCACAGTTGTGTTTGATAAAGCATCTACATATAAAAACATGTAAGAACGAGATACTCGACTTTCGACCATTCATTTCTTCATACGGGGTCATGTTGAGACGACGATTGATGATGCTTCAATTTTGAGTGAAGCAGGTAGTAGAGATGGATTTGACCCAAAGATATAGAGGAAGGTTTGCGAAATTCAATATCGATCGAGTGACTTCAACAATAGTTCGATTTCGTCTTTCAACCACACCATTTTGCTGAAGGGTGTAGGGGGCACAGAAATTATGATCGATGCCTTTGTCTATGAGTAACTTTTCAATGGTGGTATTTATAAACTCGGATCCGTTGTCACTTTGGAATCTTAGAACATGAAGTTTGACAAGAACTTCAATTCCTTTGATGAAATTTATGAGTTTAGAGGCCATTTCGTACTTTAGCCTTAGCTAGAAGGCCCAAGTGAACCTTTGTGCAGTCATCAACAATCACAACAATATACTTTTCATGATGTAGACTTTCTACGGTAGATGGTCCACAAAGATCGATATGAAGAAGTTCCAGCGGTTCCGAAATAGACTTTTCAATGATCACAAGATGACCTTTCTTTGATTGCTTCCTACATTAACACGTAGCGCAAAGATGATCCATCTAAAATTTGAGGAGTGGCATACCTCGAAACATTTCACCAAAAAGCAGACCATTCATGTATCGAAAGTTGAGATGAGCGAACCTCCGATGCCATAGCCAACTTACATCTGGAACGACCTTTAAAAGATGACAAAGTTGAGGCTTTCCAATGATCATGTTGATCTCTAAAGGATACATATTTTTGATGTGATCTGATTTGACGAGGCATTCTTTCCAGTCTTCTGTCATAATGTAGGTATGCTTCTTGCAGACTTTAACTCTTCGGTTTTGCATCATTGAGTTGAGCAACACTAATTAGATTATGCTTGAGATCATCTACATATGCCACATTTGATACAGAGAAAATTTCATTGGTCAAGCCACCATAACTTCAAATTTGAGAACTCGAATTGTTGCCATAAGTATCATAACCAACATTAGGAGTAAGCTTCAGATCACACATAAAATCTTTCTGCCCAGTTATATGCATGGAACAAGCACTATCAATATACCATATTGTATCTTGTCCCGAAGCACAAAAGCCTGAAAAATCAGTGAGTTTTGGAGTTTTTAGGCTCCGAGTTAGATTTAGGGACTTTAGCATGAGCTTTGGACTTGATTTGTGATTTCTTAGCATGGTAACAAAAGCCTTTTCATTTTCAGTGAGTTCTTGTGCTTTACGAGCATAGTAGGCATAAACTTTCACCTTTGGTTTATGAGGAATTTCATCCAAACAGTCTTTTGCAAAGTGGTTTTTAATACCACATTTGTAACACATAATCTTGGGTTTGATTGATTTCGGAACTTCTTGAGGTTCCGACGGGTGAATTGGAATGTTGGGTTGATATGCAGGTGGATTTTCATTAGGTTTGGAGTAAGGTTGAGGGTTGTTGCAATGAGGAGCTTGAAATCGATTCTAAGGTGGTTTTTGATTGGGATTCCATGAATGTCTGTACTTCATAGATAGAAGTGCAAACTCTTGCTGGAAAAGAAGTTCAGAATCACCAGATTCTGGATCAAGTTCTACATAGTTCGGAATAGGAGGAATAGGTTCAACAGGTTGTGTGGGTCGATTAGGTTGATTAGGTGGAACATGTGGGATGGCTCCAAAAGGATCCGAAATAGATGGATTCAAAATTAATGGATTGACAGAGCTTACTAAAGCGAGAGGACCTCCTGAGAGTTCTGTCAACATTTGATCAATGTTGCATTCATGACCTTGTAGTTCGTTAAAAAGCTAATAGAGCTTCAGTTTCTTTAGAGATCAATTACTTTTAAGACATGATTTAACATTTCCCCATCCCCTTCTAAGGTTGTTAATGAACTTGATATTATACTCGATTGGAGTTCGTACTACAGTATGTGTTGTCATGTCGTTCACAATGATTATGTTCAGTTTTGTTGTAGAGGTTACAAATTCACTAGGAGTTGTAGTGAAGGTATCATAGTCATTTAAAACTATGTCAAATGCTTATCTTTCATGTTCCCAGACCCTTCGAAATAGTCTTGAAGTGTATCCCAAATCTCTTTGGCAGATTTGCAAAATTTTATGTGCTCAAAGAGAGAAGGAGGAACACAAACCACCATCTCTGAGAAAGCAAGCCGATATGCATGAAACTTTTCAATGTCAGACGCGATTAGTGGTGATGAACGAAGTTCTTCTTGAGCCATGAGTATAGCAGCAACATCTCTGACCATTTTTCTTACGAGAACATAATGACCTTCTTTTATTGCTCTCCATATCTCTTCGCCTTTTTCTTTATCAAACAAAAACCTCTCCATTCCAACTATCCAATGATTATACTCTTCAACAACTAGTAATGGGGCATGCGTTGGGCGACCCACACTATTTGCTATTTGCATTGAATACATTTGTTGAGTTTGATTAGAAGGAGCCATTGAAGTTAAGATATTAGAGCTGAAGTGGTATATAGAAGAACTTTTATCTTGAACATAGAAATGATTAAGATACCAAGGTAATCTTCAATCAACTATAATATGTTCTTGTGGATTTAACGGACAACCACTTAGTCTCTAATACCAATTGTGAAAGCAAGAAATGATCTGTACGGACAAGGTTTGAAAACTCAATCCTTGAATTAACTTAAGGTCAATGTATGCTGCTAATGAAGTTCTAGTCAAGTCTGTTAAACCAGTCTTGTCTCGGAATAGATATGTTCAACAAAGTACTCAAGATATAAGTAATCGAGAAGTATGAACAATGTAAAGTGATTTAAGAATAATAAGAATGTAAAAATTAGTGATTTGACTGAATGATTCTTGGTATTGATATGATAGAGAATGTTGCACACATACATGTGTAAGCAATCAAACTTACATTTTCTTAAATAGACAATGGGTGAGACAAATAAGACAAATCTCATAAAGTACATGGACTAGAAGAAAACTGAAGATAAACGGACTGTCAAAGCCGCATCTGTTGATCTTGTCCAATATACTGTACAATAAAGCAACTACTAAAGGACAAACTAATATAGGAACATTTAATGCACAATACAGACTCAGACAACAAGCTAACAAAAGGATGTGTCTCGGATAGATCTTCACTTCGAATCTGGTATCATCTCGGAACTCTTTTACCTTCAGAGTTGGCTTCACTTCGGATTGCTACGGTATCACTTTTCATGTATCAACAATTGTTCTATCAAGACTTATTCGGAGAAGAGACTAAATCAGATTCAAGCTTCTGGGACGATGTCTACGAGAAGATCGATCATTTTTCTAGGCCAAGACAAGATCGCCACGAAGGAGGATATTGCGATGATTCGTTTAGGAACATTGATGTGAAGATCAAGAACCCTGAATTCGTGGGATTAGAAGTATACCTCTTGAGTTTGTCTGAATCTGACCAAATCTTTTGGGACGGGAATGATGAAAACGAGAGTGGTTATTTTTTTTTTTTTGTGACATTGATTCTGTTTATTATATGAAAAAATGTATAGGACACGAAAGATGAAGGTGAAACGTTTAAAGAAGAAGTTGGTGTTCAAAATCAAGTATCATCATCAAAGCTTGTGATTAGAGAGGCCGGTGGCTATAATCTCCACAAAGTGTTTTCAGGTTTTTACATTCTTTATAAACGTAATCTTCTTCCTATGGCTACTCAAAAAATAATTGAAGCAATTAATAATTATACGAGAAACATCTTCACATTTATGTTCATTTTAAAGCTTGGAAGTTGTTTGCCTTTTGACAAGAGGAATTAGAGACCAAGACTCGAGGATAAATGTTTTTCAAAAGGGAGAGAATGATATGGGGAATGTCAAAAATAATTTAAAATTTTATTTTTATAAGTTTATTTTATTATAGGGTATTTTTTTGTTAAAAGTTATCTTTATTGGGAGTTATCTCCTAATTTGATAAAATCATTTGAATTTATATATATATATATATATATATATATATATATATATATATATATATATATATATATATATATATATATATTTTAAAATTAGCTATTCTTCCTAATTAAGAGTCATATTATGGTTTCTATTAAGAATCATATTATGGTTTCTAGATTATTATAAATATGATATTAGTCCTATAATTATATAGTTTTTGATATCTAATAAAATTTATGAAAAATTTTGTAAAATTTTTTAAGAACATTAATTATTCTTATTGTTATTTGTTATCGTTAAGTCCGGTAATTTCTGATGAATCCAATTATTTCTGATCGAAATCAATTTTGCATCAAAATATATAAGATTTTGGTAAAACTTCGGACTCGGAGACACATGACACGTCCACACGTTTTTCTCTTTGTAAAAAACAATAGACATTCAAAATATTCATTTTCATTCACACCTTATTAGCTGTGTTTCATTCATAACTTTGCATACTCGAAATTACCCATTTGTCCTTGCACTAGACCATAGAAGAACGTTCCACGTCGTTTCACTTACATGAAGGTCTTCTTTGTGCGTATTATATATATGATCCTCCTTATATATATACTCATAAGTCATATCAGAAGCCACATATAACATATTCGTCTCTCGTTTCTCTCGCTCTCTTTCACAAACACTATCTATCAATTCTCTACTCTCTCTCTTTAACTTCTATATATACCTGATCTTTGTACTCTCTCTCTCTCTCACACTCTCTCTCTAGATCTCTCTCTGAGCGGTGAAAACATGAAAACTATGAAATCAAAAACCATTTTGGCACTTGGTTTTGTTTTGTTTATGCTTATATTGTCTCATCCATCACCAACCGAAGCTCAAGAAGTTGGTAATGCCCTAAACTTCGTTATGACGTTATATACTGGTTTTAACTTTGATGATCATATATATCTAGCTATCAGAGAGAGCCATGGGTTGAAACTCGAAAAACCACATGATAACTAACATGGTTTCTCCATTTTTTTTGGTTTTTAAAGTTAATGATCTTGTGTGTATAAATGTAGAGGATGAAAGAGAATTTGACTACGCAAGAGATGGGCATATGGGGCCGGAGAAATGGGGGGAGATAAAGAAAGAATGGTCGGCGTGCAGCAACGGGACGATGCAGTCTCCGATTGATATGTCGAGTCAGAGGGTGAAGATGATGGCCAGTTCTAACAAGCTGTTCACAAACTACAAGGCTCGTAATGCTACCATCAAGAATAGAGGTCATGACATTATGGTAAGAACAAAATACACCTTGGATATTACTTAATATTATTAATTAATTATAATTCTTTGGCCACCTTTGATTAGATGCCCACTATCTTTCGATAATTTAATTATTTTTATAAAAAGTTGGTTTTGAGATTTGAATGAATAAATAATTAATATAATCTATTTTGCTTATGAGTTTGGTTTCATGGATTTTCGTCAAACATCATTTTAGTTAACATGATAAAGTATATGTTGGTAACTTTAGTATTTTAAAAAAGAAAATTTACATGGAACACTTCATGATTGTCATCTTGGTGGTTTTGACTTTTTATAGAATTTTATTATTTGGCGTGCTGGCGTGTTTTAGGTTATTAGGTATTATTGATGATTTTAATTTTATTAACGAATTTAAATTTAATGTTGCAGCTAGAATGGGAAGGAGATGCGGGGTCAATTCGCATAAATGGCACCGAGTATGCTTTGAAACAAGCTCATTGGCACTCGCCTTCGGAGCATTCCATCAATGGCAGAAGGTATATATATATACATTGTGCATTTCACATATAAAAAATATATCTATCTATCTATCTATGATGATTCACAAACATTCAAAAAAGTAAGTTTATCTATTTAATTTAATAACAAACATTTTTTTTTATAAAATCAAATATTTATTATCAATATAATTACCTTAGTTGTTGAGCAATTTCCTTGACTATATGATTACATATGAACAGATATGCCATGGAACTACATCTTGTCCACCTCAGCACCGATGGCAAAATAGCTGTCATTGCTGTTCTTTATAATATTGGCAAACTTGACCATTTTCTGTCAAAGGTAACCTTTTACTACCCTTAACTTTTTTATTCTTTTATTTTCACCCTCTAATTCTCTTTCAATAAAATGGCAACTTATTTTTCATTGCTTTTACTTGTGTTTTCATTATACTTCCAACATCCCAGGTTAATATTATTGGTTTTTTTTTTTAAAAAAAAGCATTTTTAAATGGTATTTTTTACACATTCGATGACAATGATTTCCTTGAACATAGTTTTCAAATGAATTTACATATTTAAACAACCATTTGCAGTTGATGGTAAATATATCAGCCATGATAGACCAAAAGGGTGAGCATGGACACAGTGGGGTTATAAATCCCAAAGAGATTCAAATGAGTAATAGAAGATACTACAGATACATCGGCTCACTTACTGTTCCTCCTTGCACTGAAGGAGTTGTTTGGACCATAAGCAAAAAGGTAAATTAATCATTACGTTTGTAATCAACACAACAAAGAGCCATAATGTTTTGTAAGTTGACTAAAGATTTTAATTTCTTATACAGATAAGAACTGTTTCGATAGATCAAGTTAAATTGCTTCGAGAGGCTGTGCACGATGTAAGTGTCAATTGAGCAGATGAATGTCAATTTTCTTGTTTTTTTTTTTTTAAAATCCCAAGTAAGTTGAAATTGATATTTGTATTGCAGTATGCAGAAAATAATGCAAGACCAATACAACCGGTGAATCAACGCGACCTTCAAGTTTATGGTCCAGCTTCGACACAATAGATATATTAGATGTATGGGTCGTTATAGACACTTAAATATTGTGTAGTACATGATATCTATCTTGGTTCCGTATCAGTGATTTATATTGATTTTTTATTTATACATTAATACTCTTTTTTATTCTTTTAGTCCCATTATAAATAACACTCAACAATCTCCATCCCTCATGTGCATTATGTGTGTATATGTATGTAAGATGTTTGAATTCAAATTTCATATAAACATATGAAATCTAACGCAAAACAAAAGCAAAGAGCAAATGATTGTTCAAAGGGATGAGTATTATTGATCAAAAAGTGTAGTGTATGTGAAAGGCTTACAAAATCCTTTGGGAACTAAATTTGGTATGTATGCCAAATTTTCGAAATATTGAAACTGGCAATACAGTCCTCTAATTAACCTTCCAAATAAATATGGGAAAAATGAAAATTAAGTAAATCAAATATCAAGTATTAAAACAAAATAAAATAAAGTGATTGTATTGTTCCATGCTTATTCAATAGTTAAGCTAAACCCTAAAGTGATTGTATTGTTCCATGCTTATTCAATAAATATACAAAGGCTTTGATAAGAGTACTTGCGATTTACAATTTGATTCATGTTCGATGTTCTTAATTATGTGTGTCATTTCATAATAGAATCTATAAATGACATCAAAGCTTAATATCGAAGATCTAAATGATTATTTCAAGTCACGATAAAAAATGATGATTTTATCTCATGAACCTTACTTCGTTCTTCAAGATTTGTAACTTGTAACATATAACCCATGTATGAGTTTATACTTTGGATATTAAGTTAAAAAGGGTTAGGTTTTGGGTTTTTTACCAGCCCAATACTTGGTGATTGGCTTAGCACAACGTGGTGATTGGCTTACGACAACATGGTAATGCCTCGTCAGCATGGTGTGGCATTTATATGGACCATGTCGCGATGCTGTTTTGGGCCTCAAAACCATAGAACTTGGATCATGAGCCTTATTTAATGGATGTTGGGGATAGGGTTTCCCCCCAACACCAACGTCCACATCTCTAGAAAGAGTCTATTTAAAACCCTAGCCTCTTTTTGATGTTCTAAGCCTCTTTGTCTGTATTATGGTATTCTTGAAGGATGAGAATCACTCCTTTGGAGTTTGAGAGTGTTTCTTAAGGAGATCCAACACCTTGTGCATCTCTTGGACATTTGTAAGTGTCCAAGTTCCAATCTTGATGGTTTAAACTTCATAGATCTAGCATTTTATGGCATTTTGAGTCCCTTTTATGGTTTGAGATGGAGTTTAGGAAAGAAACCAGATAAAGCTTGTAACTTTATCAACCTGGAGTGTACTGGAGTGCTTTATGTTTTATATCCAGAGCCAAAGTGGGGTTTAGGACAATGCAAAGTATTAAGGTCACATTTTTACCATTTTTATCTAATTTGATGTATGACATGCATTGGACATGCGTGTCTATAAAGTTAGGATTTTTATAGACCATTTAGGCGACATGAAGCATTCCGAGAAGTTTGAGAAAATGACTTATCTGATTAAGAACTTAATGAGAAATGAGTATTCTAGATAGATTGCAGTGTGGCTAGGGGTTGACCATGGCTTAGTAGGTGAAAGACTCATGTACGATCTGTTTCTTGTTACCATGGTATGGCGAATAATAGGCCATGAAGTGGTGACATGTTATAACGGGAGTATACTGTCTTTTAGCTACCACAACGTGGCCATGGTGTTTGCCACGACACGATAACTCAACTATTGACTTTGATCGTTGGCTTTTGACTAATTTTTGACTTTTTTTGGGAGAGAGGCCAAATCCCCGGCAAAGAGACTAATTTTGACTTTAGGTCAAACTGTAGGGTTTTAAGTCATAGGCTGGGGTTTGGCCTTTGAATATATATTTAGGTGGTTGTTGTGCTTGCCTTTGCGTATCGTTAGCTGTAGAGGCTTCTGCTCTGTCTATGAGATGAGTTTTTTCACTGTATTACTTTTATCATATGTTGTATGTGAGTTGTTGATAGCTCAGGGTTGCTGATAACCCAAATGACTTTATGTGAGATGCTAACAGCTTAGGGTTGCTGATAACCCAAATGACTATATGTGAGTTATTGACAGCTTGGGGTTGCTGATAACCCATATTTGTTTTTATATATTTAGTTGTGATGTGTTGTATGTGATACTTTGGGAAACTTCATAGTTGTGAATTTAAATGTTTCAGGTTCTTCTAAGGATCAAGGCAAAACGAAGGTGTGACAATATACACTATCTAGTAGACTTCATGATTTTGAGAGATGTTATATTTTGATACTTTGATTTTGGCTCTATACTTGTGAAATAGTTATTCCGGTGGTGTTTGACTTTATGAAAATGGATTTTATTCCTTCTTAAAATTAAAATACATTTACCACAGTTTTAGGGCGTTACACTATTTTGGAAGGTAATTTTGTTGCATAAATGAAAAATTCATTCCATATTTGAAGATTTTGTTCAGGGTTATTCTTATAAACTCATATTCGTTTTAGATTCGTTCTTGAGTTATGTTTTTGTAGAATAGTTAAAGAAGATATTTGTATTTTATTCATTAATTCGTTCCAAGTTAGTTTTTCTCTCACTAAAATTCGTTTCATATATACTTTCTCTCTTCCTAGGAATCTCTCTAGACCTAATTTCTCGCTCCTGGAATACTCAAGATATATTGATTGTTTTGTTGTTTTATCTAAAAAAGAAAGAAAAACTTAATGAACGATGGTATTTAATGATTGGAGGTGATCATTATAGCCTTGATTTCGAAAGTATTATTTATTATTTGGTTTATGAGTTCATCACTGTAACATCTTATTTTGGGGGCTAGAAGTTTTGAGGGTTTTGGTAAAAATCAACATCTTCTATAAGCTATATTGCAAAGATTTTAGGAGGAGGGACCTAAAGTGTCAAATTGGCCAAAGATTTGTGCACATGTTGTGCCTATGGAAAGCGTGTCATGCTTTTGGCACCGACCGATTATAAACAACAATTTTCAACTTATTGCAAAGATTTTAGGAGGAGGGACCAAAAGTGTCAAGTTGGCCAAAGATATGTGCACGTGTCGCGCTATAGAAAGTGTGTCGTGCTTTCGGCACCGACCGATTATAAACATCAATTTTCAGCTTCCTTTCTCATTTTTTACCCCTTTTTTACCCTACTCATTTCCAACAATTTCTTCTCAAATAAACTCGATTTTCCTTCCAAATTCCGTTGTTGTTTGAAATTTCAAGTCCTTGGGTGAAACCTTGCTCAATCCTCATCATCATCTTTCTTGAAAGGTAAAATTATTCTTATTTTCCCAAAATTTGAATTAGGCTTTTGTTGGATTAAAAATCCGAATTGCATGCTATATAGGTGTTGATTATATGAAAGTTATGTTGTAATTTCACTCCTTGATTCATTTTCAAACTCTAAAAATAGTTGTGAGGTTTGTATGATTAGATAATGTTTAATGTGTGAACCCTATATCTTTAAATCTGAATGTTACGTTCTTGATTAGTTCTAAGTTTGATCTTGTATTTAGATTATGCATTAAACTTTAATTGTAGGATCTATTTGTCAACCTTTTACTTGTGGTTAGAATTCTTATTGATTAGGTTAAAGTTAAAGCTTCCATGATAATGATTATTGTAATTTAGGAGTTATAGTTTCAATGCATGGTTCCAAGCAATGTATGAGCATGAATTTGTGATTAGATGTTTTAGGTTCTTTCAAATCCATGACCCATTTGTTAATTAATGACTAATGGTGAGATTTTTAAAGTTTGATTTAAGTTTACCTTTCATATGATGATTTGGGTATTTTCAATCCTAGGGTTCATTGATTCAAATTATTAATTCCAATCAATGACATGATGTAACGACCCAATTTTCACGTCCAAAAATTTCGTTTTTAAAACATTACTTTGGAAAACGTTAATAAATAAAAACATTGTTTGATCAAACTACATCACAACATAAACCATGTTCAAAAGTCAAGTCATACAACCAATCGAAACATCAGAGTATAAATCTCAGAGAAATCTAATAAATGCGGAAACCCGTGTGTGTGCATGATGTGCCACTACCGTGCCAACTCCTTCCCCTTCGATGAAGAGGTACCTGAAACCAAAACTGTAAACTGTAAGCACAAAGCTTAGTGAGTTCCCCCATTGTACCACATACTATACAATCACATAACATACATAAGTTGTCGGGTATATCTGGGTGCCCGACCTACCCCTTCGGTCCTCTCGACCGGATACTGCCTAGCATATCTGGGTGCTGGCCTCCCTTTCGGTCCTCTCGAATGGATACTGCCTAGCATATCTGGGTGCTGCCCCCCCCCCCTTCGGTCCTCTCGACCGGGTACCAGGGACTATTTCACCCCTACTACTACCACGTAACATATATATCACATAGTCTATCTAGCATGGCTGGGCATGGCTGCCCCTTCGGCCCTATCGACCGGCAACCTGGGGACTATCTCCCCTACTATCACTAGCACATAACATCATATCATACAAACGCATAAACATAACACAGGTAGTAGCAACCCTAGATGAATATCACAGAGACAATCATCTAATCATACATCTCCTACTGGTGAGCCAGCATTGTGGCCTTAGACCCACCGCTACTGGAAGGTAACTCACCTCGTAGTAGCTACTGATCTGTGTGGGAATAGTTTGACCGCTGCTGCTGCTCCAGAAATCCTCTGGGTGTAATCTCCACCAAACACTTAGTCAAAAACTGCTAACTAACCTTTAGGTAAAATGACCATTTTACCCTAACCATGCCCTAAGTCAAAGTCAGAGTCAACTTCTAGTTGACCCGACTCGCCGAGTTGACTCGCCAACTCGCCGAGTCCATGTCCAAACGAATGACCTGAATTTTGTTTCTACTCGTCGAGTTAGGCGTCGACTCAACGAGTTCTCCTTCCAAACTGATGTTCAAGTCCTTCATCCTACTCGCTGAGTTGTATGAACAACTCGCCGAGTTCATCTTCATCCGATGAACAAATTATACTGTGACTCGCTGAGTTGTATGAACAACTCGTCGAGTCTGATCTTGATCTAAGGAGATTGCCTTGAACTCGCCGAGTCTGGGCATCGACTCGTCGAGTTCCATTATGGGTGAGTTTTGGCTTCCAACTCACCGAGTCCATCC